AGACTGGAAACTGTACCAGGAACAGCTATACTTAGGTTCTAAGTAAGTTTGAGGCGTTTGAGGAGAAGGGCCCAACACAGGAAGCAAGAGCATGGCCCAACTTCTTAGCCAGGGAGGAAGGAAAAGGATTCTCACCAGACTGCGGAACTTACAGGCGTGTTGCTGCTTCAGTAGACGTTTCATCCCCCTCAATCCTGTACACCTTCCCATACATTACATACTCAAACTGGTCAGCCCTGCAGAACAATAGTGACAAAGTTATTCTTCATAATAATTACAAACAATCCTTTTCAGCTGGGCACAGTGGCACACACCTGCAATCCCATGGCTCGGGAGGCTGAGGTAGGAGGATCTCAAGACAGCCACAACAACTTAGTGAGGCCCTAAGCAATTTAGCGAGACCCTGTCTCAAAATAAAACATAAAAAGGGGCCAGGGATGTGGCTCAGTGGAAAATATCCCTGAATTCAATCCCAGGTACAAAAAAAAAAAAAATCCTTTTAAAATGGTAACTAATAGCCAGGTATAATGGCTACACCTGTAGTCCTAGCTAACTGGGAGTCAGAGACAGGAGGATCACTTGAACCTCAGAAGCATGAGGCCAGCCTGGAGAACATAGTGAGACATCATCACAAAAACATTAAAAATAAGAATAAAATGGTAACTGGTAATTAAGTGCCAGCATTATAACAAGAGCCACCTTAGAAATATGATGTCATTTAGTCCTTCCCCACCATAATCCTTTGAACCAAGTATGACATCTCTATTTTACTGATGAGGAAACTAAGAATAAAAGAGATTAGGGTATTCAACAAATAAGTACTAAAGCTAAGAACTAAACTCAGTGGTGCTCCAATGCCTCTCTATCACACCAAACTCCTCCCACATAGCCTAGGTCACTCAATGGTCATTTCCTCCATCTTCAAAAAGCTACACCTCACAAGCATGATATCCATGGTATCACTGCTCTCAGTAAACACCTGGTTGTTTGAATTCTTTTTTTTTTTTTTTTTTTGGTACTAGGTATTGAACCCAGGGGCGCTTAGCCACTGAGCCACATCCCCCAGCTTTTTTGCTTTTTTATTTTAAGACAGGGTCCCACTAAGTTATTTAGGGGCTCTCTAAGTTGCTGAGACTGGCTTTGAACATGCAATTCTCCTGCATCTGCCTCCTGAGCAGCTGAGATTATTGGCGTGAGCCACCACACCCAGATAGTTGTTTGAATTTTTTTTTTTTTTTTTAATATTTGGTTTTTAGTTGTAGTTGGACACAATACCTTTATTTTTATTTATTTATTTTTATGTGGTGCTGAAGATCAAACCCAGGGCCTCGCACGTGGTAGGCAAACGCTCTTCACTGAGCCACAACCCCAGCCCTGGTTGTTTGAATTCTTAAGTGTAGCACTTTCCTTAAGGTTACTCAGATTCTGCTGACAATCATTTATTCCAGGGACTAAATAAAGGTCTTTCTAAATCAGACACAATAGCACATACCTGTAATCCCAGCTACTCAGGGGAGCTGAGACAGAAGGTTTGCAAGTTTGAAACCAGCCTGGGCAACTCAGCAAGATCCTGTCTCAAAATAAACTAAAAAAGGCTAGTGATGGAGCTCAGTGATAGAGTACTTGCCTACCAGGTATGAGGCCAAGGTCCAGTTCAACTCCCACTTGCAGAGGTGGTTCTATACCACTTAGTCCTCAGGGCATATTTCAATATTTAAAGTGCTCCCTTCTCTACTCCCTCACCTGGAAGGCCTGTCATCTGTGGGGTTGTATTCACCATCATCCAGGGTACCATCTTCATACAAGGTACTAGCTATAACCAATCGGAACTTGTCACCTAGAAATAAATGCAATATCTGAGGATGAAGAATAGATGAAATTAAGAAGAAGGGGAAAAAACTCTTGCTATTGTGTGTGTTCAATACTTACCCAAGTCTACAGGGTAAATTTGAATGTTTACATCTAAAATGAGGTCCATCTTGAAAGATTCACTCTCACAATGCAGTCGAGATACTGGGGAAAAACAAAGTAAGTGACAGGCATACTTTATCAAGCCCAGGGCAGAACATACAGATCCCAGTTTGGTGGTTAACTGCAAAAGAATTTTAATGTAACCTGGTATACATCCATTAACCTCTCCACTGCATTCAAGGAAGTGCAGGTTCAATCAGAACCTGTGCAAGAAGAAAAAGGGCAAAAACTATGGCAATAGAACAGAAACCCCAGAAAGAATCAAAGATCCTCTGGCAGCAAATATCTAGGCTCTAGGCCCCCTGAATGATTGAGAACATGACTCTGGGCAAGTTATTACTTATCCAAAGGTTTTCTCTTTCTGTGCTATACATTATGCTGAGAGGATTAACAGGATGAATAAGAACTTGATAAACATCTCAGTCTGTAGGCAAATAAAGTATCACCAAGGAGAAAAAATTGTCGATGGATTGCAGAATAAAGAGTTGTATGCCAAGCAATTAGCTCTAACTCAGAGAGGACTTCACAAACAGCTAAAGATTCTGGGGCCAATATAAGAATACAAGTTAGGAAGTCAAATAACTCACTCTGTGGTCTTGGGTGGGTTACTTAACCTGTCAGAACAAAATGCAAAAACACCTCCTACTTCATGGGGGCTTTTGAGAATGAACAAGCCAAAGTGTGTGAGAGGGGAGCACAGTATAATCTCTAACACAGAGAGTAGGTCGCGATTATAAAGATGCCCAGGAGTTTGTCAGCATCATGGCTGAAAGCCACCCAGGCAGCAGGCACTGACTGCGTGGGTGAAGCCTGGGAAAGCTCAGAGTCTCAAGTTTCTCATTCATAAAATGTTTCCTGAGGGACAACGCTTCATCAGAATCCGTCGCTAGAGGCTGGCCACGTGAGCAGGGTGGAGAGGGGGCCCAGGGGCGTGGCAATGAGACAGGCCTCTTTTTTTGTACCGCTCCTGCGTACCTTAACTTACCTCGGTCAAACTTTTTACCCTCCGGGTCAATGTCTTTCACATCGAATATATCCTCAAACAGGATGCCCGCCATCGTGAGGGGGCCAAGAAACCAGAAGAAGTGCTGACCACGCAGCCACGACTGGGGGTTCGCGCACCCCCTCGCGTGGAGAAAAGGAGACAGGAAAAAGGTTCAGGCTGAAGAGCTCCACGGGGACAGAATGACGCATGCGCACCGACTTGCAGTAAGGCAGCCACTTCCGCCGAGTCCCTCTCGGGGCTTCTACACTTCCGCCCGGAAAGATTGCTGTGAGAGGCTTGGACGTTGAGGGCGTGTCTCTAAGTTCAGGTGACACGCCCAGGGCGGAGACACAAATAGGTCCCACCTCCGCGGAGGTGGCGCGGGTTCTAGTGCTCCGCTACTGCTCTACTGCGCCCTCTTCAGAGTCCGGGACCCGAAGACTGGAATGCGTGGGGGCCTAACCCAGGCAAGGACCTTGATCCTTGGCCCAGAGAAGCCCGGCCCTAACCCTGCCCTGCTGGTCCGCAAGCCCGCCCGGGCACAGTCCGCACCGGGGGCGGGTGGAACAGAACCCCGCCCCCAGAAAAGCTGGCCGGGCAGGGCATAGTGCCCAGCCCCTCCAGCTGGCACCAAGGCCCCCGGGGCTGGCCCGAGCCAGCTCGGCCCTGCTGGACGTCACCCGACCGGGTCCGTCCGGTTTGGGAATTTGCCTTGATGTCACTATGGAGAAAAGAAAAGTCTGCACTGTCCCCTCCCCTGGTGCTGCACCCTCCCCATCACTGCCCTCTTTCCCTGGGTCCTGCTCTCCTGCCACCACCTCCCCTTAGGTCTGACATTAATCCCCTCACACTGCGCTCCCCAAAAGCATTGCCCTTTCAACTTTGGTACTGCCTTTCCCCCACCACTGCCCTCTCCTGCACACATACCCCTTAGTCTTGGCATTGTCCCCCTATTGGAGAGAAGAGGTCTTCTCTCAAACTGCCCCTTCTTCCTGGTTGCCTCCTCTCTCATACTGCCTCTTCACTGGGCACCGACCCCTCCCCTAGAGCACTGCCGCTGTCCCCTAAATGCCCCTCATCCTGGGACTGCGCCCTCCTACAAACTGTTTCTGGGGCCCGCGCTCTCCCGTGGCTCTAGCTCTAACAATGCCTATCCACCCTGTGCTCACTCCACCCTGTTCTATCCTTCCAAGGACCCCGATAGAGAATGCGGAGCCCCAGCAGGCCGTTCCCCTAACACGGCGAGACGTCAGCAGCTACTCGGGTTTCTGGTTGGGCCCTGCCAGGGAGAAGCGACCTCTGCTCCCCCACACCCGCCTCCCAGGAGTGGCCTCCCCAGCACCTACAACTCCCTTCCCTCAGGCCTCACCTCTTCCCGTACCCTCTCCACCCCCCCACACCCCGCAGGCCTGGCAGCTCCAGGTGCACCTCCTTGAGGGAGCCCCGAGGAAAGAAAGAAGAAAGGGAGGGAATGAGGAAGGCGGCCTAGAATTCCCCTCTGACTCGCTCCCAGTTGCTTTTCACCCTGGATGGGGCAGAGGGGACTACCCGGACTCTCCTGAACCACCTGTTCCTCTCTAGGAGCAGAGAAGGGGCTGCTCCTAACGGATCGAGTCTCAGGAGCCCAATTTAGACGGTTTTGGAGCCCCAAGCCCCAAGCCCTACTGAACCCCAACGTCTCCAAGTCCTCCTGCCCCGCCCAGAGAGCTGTGGACCAGGCCCATCCCTTCCACGTGCCAGCGGACCCGCCCTCGCCCCAGCCGTGGGTGCCCCAGTCAGTCCCCAGCCTCCAAGGGAGGGGGCGCGTGCTCTCACGCAAAGCGCCCCCTGCCGCCTCTTTCGAGCCTGAGAGGCGGCTCCATCGCAGACCCCAGGCGGGATGGGCCGGCCCCTCCGGATGGGCCGGCGGGCGGAGCGGCGCAGAGGGCACCGCCCTCGGCCCGCCCGCCGAGGAGGGGACGAGAGCGGGAGGCTGCGCCTGCGGCGCCCGCCCGGGACCCGCCACACTCTGCACTCGGCCGCTCGGGCTGCGGGGACCGGACGGGTGCCTGCTCGGGCTTTGCGGGCTGGGAGCAGAGACCAGGCCGGAGCCCGAGCGGCAGAGGGAAGCCAGAGGGCAGTACACGGAGATGGCGGCCGTGGCGGCCGCGGCGGCCGAGGAGGGGATGGAGCCGCGAGCGCTGCAGTACGAGCAGACCCTGGTAAGTGAAGCCGAGACGAGCTCGAAGGGTTGCACTTAGGCACAGCTGTTCCAGATTACCCTAGGGAGCGCAAGGGTTGGGGGCCTACCCAACCTCCGCCTCAGTCCTCTGAGCTGGGGAAACTGAGGCTGAGGAGTCCGAGAGGCTGCAGCGCCAAAAGGTTGGAAAGCTGCTTGCTGGCTTCTGGCTGAGCCTGGGGGCCTGCAGAGGACAATGACACCAAGTGTTTATCTGCGGTGTGCTTCCCTTTACCCCCACTCCAACACACTCGTTTTCTTTGCCCCTTTCCTCACCGTTTGAGCCCAAGTCTCAGCGCGCTAATACCCCTCCCCAGTACCATCCACACCCTTGAACTTTCTCCACACCCCTTCTGTCTCCACCATCCAAGACATTCCCTGTGTCCCTACCATGTACATGAATGACATTCTGCTAGGCATAGAATCTAGAGTGTGTAGACAGGTGATCAGACCCAAACCTCTGCCTTTGTGGGCTCAAAACCAGCATTGGCAGGAACCTCTCAGTCGATCCTGGCTAGGGGAAATGGCCTGCCACCTTGGAGGATAGGAGCTTTAGGGAGGATGGGTGAAACAGATATGGGTGTGGGAATTGGGACCTCTGTCCATTCTGACCCCTCTGTCCATACAGCCCCCACCCAACCCTGGGTGTTCCTTGACCTCATTTTCTACTGAGGAGGGGTCCTGGGTTTTCAGCTGATTCAACCTTTACTTAGTATTTGAGAAGCCATTTGACCCTTTTTTATATCACTTGAGTGGAAGACCTAAGCCCTAGGTAAAGGAATAGCCCATGGCTCCTTTTTATCAGCTTGGGCTGGAATTTGCCCAGGAGGGTGGCAGGGAGGTAACCTCTCCAGGTGAAGAGGGCCTGGGCTGTAACTGAGTCTGGGAGGTGCCCAATTACAAAAGAGAGAGAGAAAGGGAGACTGGATGAAACAGGATGACCAGGGGAGGTGGTAGGTATGGGAGCAGAGCAAAGGGAGCAGAACAAGCCCTTGGGACAGGGTGAGAGATATCTGTAGTCTGCAGAGGCCAAAGAGGGGGCACTGATCATGGAGCCAGGCACCTGACCTCCCAAATGGTGTCTCTGTTGCACCAGCCACATCTCCTTCCCTTGTGGCTCTATCTCAGGAATGAGCTCTCAGGGTCAAGCTCTCTCCCGGCATTCTGTGCTCCAGCCTCTCCCCCTTGTCCTTCCTACCCTTTTGTCTGTCTCTCACCTCCCCCCTCCTACACTGTATCTCTATATTCTACCCTCTTTTCCTCCTCCCTGCTTCTTTCTCCCCTCATCTCTCCTGTGTTTTCTCTGGCCTCTCTCTAGTTCTCCTCTCTGAGCTTCTCCCTTTTCTCACTATCTCTCACTCTCTGTCTGTGTCTCTATCTGTCCCTCCCTCTCCCCCCTCCAACCCCAGCCCCAACAGGAGCCCTTTGTGTCCTGAAGCTCTGCGGGTGGCAGCCGGAATCTACTCCTCCCCACCCCCCAACACACGCCCAGCTTGGCAGGTCTAGCCATAGCTCGGCTACTCTTCCGTCCCATCACCCAGCATCCACAGTCACAGCTTTGCCATCCGCAGCCTCTGCTGTCCCCGACCTGCTACTGGACTCTGGGCAGCTCTAGAGTGGGGCTGAGGCCACCAAGCACTCTCCACCCTCCTGGAGAAGCTTTCCATTCCCAGCTGGGCGGGTTGGCTAGTCGGGGGGTGGAGAATGGGGACAAGGGGATTAGGGTGGGTGGGAGGGGTGCAGCTGATTTGGTAACAGGCCAGAGGCCCAGCAGGAACGTGATAAGGATTGGGGCCGCGCCTGCTTCTAGGCCCTACTCAGCCGCCCTCAGCTCTGCCAGGCTCTTATTGTTGCCCATATGCCCTTGACCATCCCTTATTCTCTGACCTTCCTTCCTCCCACTTTCAGACTGTGCCTTAGGCTTTTCCATCTTTTCCCTCTTCTGGAGCCTTCCCTCCCACTCCTCTTCAGTGCTCCCACCTCTGGCCCATGAGAAGAGGACCAATTATTCTGCCACCCCCAGATCTGTGTCCCTGTACCTTGGCTGTCCCTGTCACTGTAGCCAGGGCAGCCCCCACACTCAGCAATGTACATTGTTCCCACACGCCAAGCCAGAGTGGGAACTGTGGGTTCAAGGGGGGTATATAATATGGAGGCTGGGAGAAGGGGAGTCAAGGCCCCAGGCGCCCTCCCTGTATCCCCACTGAGCCCATGCACACTAATGCCCCATCTTCCCCATTGCTCCAGATGTATGGCCGGTATACTCAGGAACTCGGGGCCTTTGCCAAAGAGGAAGCTGCTCGGATTCGCCTGGGAGGCCCTGAGCCCTGGAAGGGGCCCCCTTCTCCTCGGGCTCCCCCAGAGCTCTTGGAATATGGACAGAGCCGATGTGCCAGATGCCGCAGTGAGACCTGGGTTGGGGCAGGGGACCTGGTGGGGTTGTGATGTGCTGAAGGGGGAAGAAGCCATTGGAGCTACCAGTGGAGGAAGGGGAGAAGCAGTAACCAGGAGAGGAGTACTTTGGTGCCAGACTCCCTGTTGATCTTACCTTCCCTGCTCCCAGTCTGTTCAGTACGCTGCCACAAGTTCCTAGTATCCAGGGTTGGTGAAGACTGGATCTTCCTGGTCCTCCTGGGGCTCCTCATGGCACTGGTCAGCTGGGCCATGGATTATGCCATTGCTGTTTGTCTACAGGGTGAGAGCAAAGGCTGGCAGTGGGAGGACTGGGGAAAACCAACCTACTTCCAATGTGCAAAAGTTGTTGAGGCTTCTTGGCCACTGATCACTTTCCCTGTACAGTCTAACTGCCTTCGGGCACAAATACTGCCACTCCCATAGGTCATAACTTGGTGGTGGTTTTTTGTTGTTGTCTTGATTTGGTTTGGTTTGGTATGGGGGATTGAACCCAGGGCCCTTAACCACTGAGCCACTTCTCCAGCCCTTTTTATAAATACTTTATTTAGAGCAGGGTCTCGTTAAGTTGCTGAGGCTGACTTTGAACTTGCGACTCTCCTGCCTCAGCTTTCTAAGCCACTGGGATTATAGGTGTGTGCCACCACACACGGCAAACTTCTTGCCTCTTTCCAACTGACCCTTTTACCTACAGTGGGCTTTGTCCTAGTCTATGCCCTAGGGCCCCTTTCCTTCCATCTGTGCCCAGGCTCTGTGCAATATTCCCTGGGAAAACATCATATTAGTGTGTCCCAGTGGCCAGGAGCAGGTGTGTGCATTGGGGTCCAGCAGCATGTCCTCTTTCCACAGCCCAGCAGTGGATGTCTCGGGGCTTAAACACCAGCATCTTACTTCAGTACCTGGCCTGGGTTACCTACCCTGTCGTTCTCATCACTTTCTCAGCTGGATTCACACAGATCCTGGCCCCTCAGGCTGTTGGTATGATAGGAGAGAGGAGAGGGCAGAGGTCAGGCCTCCTGAAGTGTGAACATCAAGTGACTTTTATGGGCATGAACCCCCTCCAGGGTCTGGCATCCCCGAGATGAAGACCATCTTGCGGGGAGTGGTGCTGAAAGAATACCTCACTCTCAAGACCTTTGTGGCTAAGGTCATTGGGCTGACCTGTGCCTTGGGCAGTGGAATGCCCCTTGGCAAAGAGGTAATTGCAGGTTGGGAAATGGAGTCCTTCCCAGTGGAGGAAGAGACCAGGCCAAGATCAGGGCAGGGCCCCTCCCCACTCATCACAGGCCCTCACCCTGCAGGGCCCTTTTGTGCATATTGCGAGCATGTGTGCTGCCCTTCTCAGCAAGTTCCTTTCTCTCTTTGGGGGTATCTACGAGGTAAGGGGATCCCTGGGGAAAAAGGGGGTGGGTAGGTGCTGAGCCCAGGCTAATGCCCCCTTGCACCACTCTTGCCAGAATGAATCTCGGAACACGGAGATGCTGGCTGCTGCCTGTGCTGTGGGCGTGGGCTGCTGCTTTGCAGCACCTATTGGAGGTAGGTAGGACTCCTCCATGAGCACAGCAACCCAACCCTGCCTTGGCCTCTCCTCCTCTGCCCCTCTCCTCTGGGTCTGAGTCCTTAAACCACGCCCAGCCCCAAGTAATGCTCTCGCCTTCCCCTGGCAGGTGTCCTGTTCAGTATCGAGGTCACCTCCACCTTCTTCGCTGTGCGAAACTACTGGCGGGGCTTTTTTGCTGCAACCTTCAGTGCCTTCATCTTCCGGGTCTTGGCAGTCTGGAACCGTGATGAAGGTGGGCGGCACCTGGGGGATGAGGGAGCCCAAGATGATTTAGGTGGGGGATCGCTGAAGCTAGACCTGCCTCCCTGCTACTCCTTCAGAGACCATTACTGCACTCTTCAAAACCCGGTTCCGGCTCGACTTCCCCTTTGACCTGCAGGAGTTGCCAGCCTTTGCTGTCATTGGGTGAGGAACTGAGGGGTGGGAGGTGGGGGCGGACAGGAGGGAGGCTTCCACAAGAAGACCCTCTTCAACACTAGTGCTTCTTCCCTCTCTAGCATTGCTAGTGGCTTTGGGGGAGCCCTCTTTGTCTACCTGAACCGGAAGATTGTCCAGGTGATGCGGAAGCAGAAAACCATCAATCGCTTCCTCATGAGGAAGTGAGTTGACCATAGACTTCTCCAGGAAGCTTTGGGTTGTATGAGGGCCAGACATGGGGCAGGGGGACAATGAGGAATGGTACAGTGAGGAAGAGAGAGTGGCCTAGGCACTGCACTGAGAAATGAGCCAATGGTGTTTCCAGGCTGACTAAACATTCTGACGTTCATATGAATTACTGGAAAGTTGAAATTTTAGTAGTGACAAAGGATATTTGGGATCCAAGACTGAAGCTTTCTTTCGTCCTGTGGCCTGGCCTAGATGGCAGTGTTCCCTGGAGAGTGTTTGTTTGCCTTGGTTTACCCCCTGTGACCCATGGGAATGGATGAGATTTTTTATCTCTGGAACACAGCTCTCAGTTGTGACCCTGATGATTAGGAGTGGAGAGGCCTGAGAAGTGACTTTTGTTGAAATTACGTCCTTAAGGGAGAGGGCAGCCAACTGAACCTGCTCCCTACAGCACCTTTGGTCCACTTCATGAGTGACCCCAGCTTCCTCTACACTAACCTTCACCCCAAGTCGCCACAGAGAGACAGAAGCAGAAATGTCTCTATACCCTCACACAATGTGCCCTTCAGTTGGGCCTTCTGCGGGTGGAGGGCAGAGTCACCGCTCAGAGGTGTCCAAAAAAGCATTAGGGATGGATTTTCTGCTGCTGCTACTCATAAGAGCCAATACTCTGCTCTGACCTCAGCCCTGAGGTATGTGAGGGCACTCAGCTCATTGCCGTCCCTAGGAGGTCACACTCCCCATGCCTGATGCTGTGAAACCTATATCTCTAGACGCCTGCTCTTCCCGGCTCTGGTGACCCTGCTCATCTCCACTCTGACCTTCCCCCCTGGCTTTGGGCAGTTCATGGCTGGACAGGTAACCCCAGGCAAAACTGACACGTGCACTCCTCCCTCAGACACATTACTTCTAAAGTAACAGCCCAGCAAGACTCTGGGATCCCTGTTCTTGTGGATTCCTTTGGCTCTTTCCCGGCAGCTTGTCTGTTCCCTAGCCTGAGGCACCCTGTTTACCTTAGCTTTCACAGAAGGAGACATTGGTCACCTTGTTTGACAACCGGACATGGGTCCGCCAGGGCCTAGTAGAGGAGCTAGAGCCATCCAGCACCTCACAGGCCTGGAGCCCACCCCGTGCCAACGTCTTCCTCACTCTGGTCATCTTCATTCTGATGAAGGTGGGGCTTCCTACATATACATATCGCTAACGTTACATAGGCTTACGGGGTGTGGGCGCTGTCCCAAGCACTTGCTTTGTGTTAACTCCTTTAAGTTTCATAGCAAACTTATAAGAAAAGTGCTCTTGTCCCTGTTTTAAAGACACGGAGTTGAAGCACAAAGAGGTTAAGTAATTGGCCCACAGTCACACAGTTATTCAGTGTGTAAGGATTTGAACCCAAGCCATATGGTTCCAGAGTCCTTTCCCTTCCTTTCACCTCCTGGGATTCTGGGATACCTGGGGAGATCATTCCCACTGATAAGCAAGACAGGCTTCCCTGGGGGGCACCTCTGCTTGTTTGAACTGCCTCTTGTCTGCAGTTCTGGATGTCTGCACTGGCCACAACCATCCCTGTGCCTTGTGGGGCCTTCATGCCTGTCTTTGTCATCGGTGAGTTTGCAACTGCCTGTCCTCCCGGCCTGCACCCTCCCCATACTCTGGCAATCCCTGGCCATCCTCTCTCTGCCCAGGAGTGGGTTTTAGTCCAGCCCCTTGCCCAGACCCCCAACCCTGCAGGGATGCCCCCTGCACTGAATGACCCACCGGCCCCTCCCCCACCCTCTGACCCTTTCTCTTCCTAGTGCCCCTGCCCTCCCCCTCCACTACCTTTTTCTCTTCCCACCCCACTCCCTGAAGGAGCAGCATTTGGACGTCTGGTGGGTGAAAGCATGGCTGCCTGGTTCCCAGATGGGATTCACACAGACAGCAGTACCTACCGGATTGTGCCTGGGGGCTATGCAGTGGTTGGTGAGTGCTGTAGGTCTCTTGCTTTGCAGTGCTGGAGATCAAACCCAGGGTCTTGCATGCTAGGCAAACACGCCCCCAGCAGTGTAACCCCTGACCCTCACTGTCCGCGTCTGCCTTGGAAGACCACTGCCCCAGCCACAGAGTCTGAGTCTTTGGTGCCCCCTGCTGGCAGATGAAGAGGTCCAGTCCTTAGGGACGGCCCTGAGGGACCACCATAGGCCCTGCCCAGGGAAGGGAGGGTCTTCTGGGGCCTGGGAATCCTGAGACTGAGAATGGCTCTCCCCAGGGGCAGCTGCACTGGCAGGAGCAGTGACACACACAGTATCCACAGCCGTGATTGTGTTTGAGCTCACGGGCCAGATCGCCCACATCCTGCCTGTCATGATTGCCGTCATCCTGGCCAATGCTGTTGCCCAGAGCCTACAGCCCTCACTCTATGACAGCATCATCAGGATCAAGAAACTGCCCTACCTGCCTGAGCTGGGCTGGGGCCGCCACCAGTATGGAGGACAGGGTGCAAAGGGTGTGGGTGAGGGGCAGAAGGCTTCCTAGGAGCCCTCTCACCCACCTCCAGCAAGGCCTTAAGCTGGGGGACTGGCCATCTTGCTCCTTCCCTCCCTTCAGGCTGCCTTCTCCCTGGGGTTCCCTGTAGGTTGCCCCAGCTGACCAAAAAGAAGGGTGAGGCCAGGCACAGTGGCACACATCTATAATCCCAGTGACTCAGGAGGCTGAGAGAGGAAAATCACAAGTTCAAGACCAGCCTTAGCAGCTTAGCAAGGCTTTAAGCAACTTAGTGACCCCCTGTCTCAAAAAGTAAAAAGGGCTGGGGATGTAGCTCAGTGGTAGAGTGCCCCTGGGTTAAATCCCCAGTACAAAAAATAGTGGTGGGTAGGTACACTTCTGGACACTTGACCCTTTGTCCCTTGTCCTCTGGGGCTCTGGGGCCTTCCCTATGACACTGGGGTGGTAGTGCTCTGGGCTATTCTCCTTATGCTGATGACAAACTGAGTACCCCACTCTGCCCCTAGGCAGTACCGGGTGCGAGTGGAGGACATCATGGTGCGGGATGTTCCCCACGTGGCCCTCAGCTGCACCTTCCGGGATCTGCGGTTGGCACTGCACAGGACCAAGGGTCGCATGTTGGCCCTAGTGGAGTCCCCTGGTGAGGCTAGGAGGGTTCCCAGGTGCTGTGAGCACCTCCCAGGGTTGTAGCTCAGGGATGGGCAGGGAGCTCAGGACTAGTCTCCTTGGTTCCAAAGGGAATGGATTAGCACTTGCCAGGCAGGGGTTTCCCTGTGGTGTGTATCCTATATCCAAGGCCCCACTATGGGTGTGAGAGAAGGTCCAAGGGGTGGGAGGGTCACCCCCCCAGCAACTGAGTCTTCCCATTTGCTCTATCCAGAGTCCATGATCCTGCTGGGGTCCATTGAGCGCTCACAGGTGGTGGCCCTACTGGCAGCTCAACTGAGCCCCACCCGCCGGCGACAGTACATGCAGGAGCGTAGAAAGGCCCAGGCATCTCCACCTTCTGATCAGGAGAGTCCTCCTAGCCCAGGGACGTCTGTCCGCTTCCAGGTGAGGGGAAAAGCCCCACAGCCACACACACTTCCAAAATATTATTGTATAGACGGATGGGGAAGATGATTTAGAGGGTGGTCTGGAGCCACAGCCTCTCCAGCCCTTTCCTGCCTATGCAGGTGAACACAGATGACTCAGGCTTCCCTGCCTCCCGTGGGGAGACTCACAAGCCCCTGAAGCCTGCTTTAAAGAGGGGACCCAGCAATGCCACCAACCTCAGGGAGAGTCCTACAGGTGAGCTCATCTCTCCTCCATCCCATACACAGCCTGAACTAGGCCACTGAGATCCATAGGATTCCTGCTCACCCTATCAGCTAAAAGAGACCCCCCCAGATGGGCCGGGGGTAGAAATGAGACACCTCTCTCTTGCTTTCTCTACCTCTTCTGGTCCTCTTCCCCCAAGATGACATTTCCCCTGGGGCCTTGTGTTTGGGAACACAGGCAATGTGGAGTCAGCAGGCATTGCCCTCAGGAGCCTTTTCTGTGGCAGTCCACCTCCTGAGGCGGCTTCAGAGGTGAGTGGTTGGAGCCGCCCCTCCTGGTTTACTTTATCCCCAGTTCCCTCTATGGCTGAGACCCCCCTCTCCATTAACCAGTCAGTGCCTGCCCCATTCTACCTGCCCTCTGCCCTCCCAGCTGTCAGCTCTGATCCTGCAGGGTGCCCTTCCCACTGAGCTCTACCACACCCTTCACCTCCCCTCTCCATATAACCTCAACACCTTTCCTCTCTGGTTTGGCTCTGACAAAGTTGGAGAAGCCAGAATCCTGTGACAAGCGCAAGCTGAAGCGGGTCCGAATCTCCCTGGCGGTATGTTCAGCCTCTCTTCCTGCAGCTCAGGAGCACTGGGCAGGGAGGTTTGAAAGTCTAGGCTGGGTAAACCTCCCAGAACTGGAGTTCCACTCACCTCCCTCCCTCCTTTCTAGAGTGACTCGGACCTGGAAGGCGAGATGAGCCCTGAGGAGGTAAGGCGCCACTGGACTCTGGACCCTGTTTCTTCCTGGGTGTGTTCGGTCTTTCTGATGGGAAAGACCATGGGGTAGAATAAAGAGCAAGTCGACCTTTAGGAAGGTGAGAGCAGCTTTTGACACCTTCTCCCTAACCTTCAGTCTCTTCCTCTCAGATTCTGGAGTGGGAAGAACAACAACTAGATGAACCTGTCAACTTCAGTGACTGCAAAATTGATCCTGCCCCCTTCCAGCTGGTGGAGCGCACCTCTTTGCACAAGGTAGGGCCAGTGGCCTGGTGTGGAACAGGATAGGGATCTGGGTCTGCCCCCACCACCACCTGCCCCACACACATCAACAAGTTTAGAGTCAGGCCAGTGGGAAAGGAAGGAGGCGAGAGAGTAGACTCTGTTGAGATGTTTTTCAGATATGTTACTGTGGGCAATGGGAGGCTGGAAGCCAAGGCCCCTTAGCCTTGCCCTTGCTCCATAGTGGAGCCAGGCATCATTTTTCCTCTGCTTAGCCTCACCCCCAGGAATATTGGAGCAAAGCAGCAACAAAGACAGAGCTTGAGCTGGTTGTAAGCCAAAAGGCCAGGCCAGGGTCAGAGCTAGGCAGGAGGCTGCCAGAGCCCAACAAGGCTGATACACCCACACTGAAAAGATCGGGTGAGAAACAGGCAGGATAAGAAAATCTAATAAACAAGCTAACAAATAGCCAAGTAGGGGTGGAGAGACTGCAGAAAAGAAATAAACAAAGATGAGAAACACTCAGTGGGGGGTTTGGAATGTCAGACCCCAGAAAGTCTAGTTTAATATGGGCCAAAGGAAAACTAGTAGAGACTCAGGAAAATAGCTCAGCAGAAAGTCAACACCGCTGCAGAATTGGGGAGATTCAGTACAGATAGGTGAATAGGGGGTGAGGCAGACACCTGAGGAAGGTGGGGGCCTTCTGGGGAGTATGGCTTCAGGGCTCCCAAGAGGTAGCTGGTGCCAATGGGCACCTATAGGCTTCTAAGTGAAGGCAGGGAGTGCAGACACACCCCACAAAAGCTAAATCTTTGACAGACTTAATGTACAAACCTCTGTTGGAAGATGTGGGTTGAGGGGACAGGCTTCAGGTAAAACTCCCAAGGCCCAATGCTTGGGTGGGTGGCTGGCTTAGGCACAAGAGTCAGCGTTGCATGCTACAAGCAGAGGTGGAGGCAGGAAGGACAGGGGACAAAAGAGAAACAAAAAAGCAAACAGCAATAAAGGAACTTGGCAGCATTTAGATAAAGACCTCAGATTAAAGTGAATGGGGAATTGCAATACAGTTGCAAGAAAAAGAGGAGATAGGCTTAAAGATAATATATTAGGCTTTTATTTAAAGCCTTTGTCCCTAAAACTGCTAAAGCTTTTCCACAATGATTAATCATCTTAATCTTCAGACATCCACAATAATGATGATGATATTTTTGAGTGTTGCTATATGCCAGACATTGTGCTAAGGTCATCACATGTGTAATCTAATCCTCACAACTACACTATAAGATAGATATTGTGATATTCCAGTTTTTATAGAACAAATTGAGATTCTGGGAGGTAAGCACAGCTAGTTAGGAGTGGAACTAGAACCTGGAATACAAGATGGTCTGACTCAAAAAGCCTGTGGCTGGGCTGGAGTTGTGGCCCAGCAGTAGTGAACTTGCCTAGCATGTGTGAGGCACTGGGTTTGATTCTCAGCACTGTATTAAATAGATGAATAAAATAAGGTCCATCAATGACAACTGAAAAAATATTTTTAAAAATAAAAATAAAAGGCCTGTCGTCTAAGCCATTCTAGTACATAGGAAAACTGAGGCCCATGACGAGGAGGTCATTGCCTAAGTCAGTTTAGCAGAGTCAGGCCAGAACTCAGAGCTCTTGGTCCTGCTCCCAGGATTCTTTCAGAAGACCACATTGTCTCTTCCTGTCAGTTCATTGTTCTCAAGCCCAAGAAAGTTGGACCCTCCAATGGGCTCCCTGATGTCTAATTAAATTAAAAGGGACAAAGCAGATGTTTGTTACAAACGTAAAAATCAGAGGAAGAAAAGCCTTTAAAAGGAACCAATCAACAAAAATACAAAGAACTAGATGATAAGGACATAAAAGATTAGAATTCAAAATGTCTCTGCAGGCCCGAGGAATCAGTAAGTAGTAGCCCAGTCAAGTTCAGAAGGAAACATTCCAAGAGGAGAGAGAATACTTTGGAGACTGTTCAAGAACCTGTGTTGTTGATCATGTGCCAGCCAGGTACCTCATTCATTCAGGGGTCACCTACAGAGAAACAGCGGGAGTTGTGAGGGCCAGACCAGTGCTCACTGCCACGTGTGAGTTAGCTGTGCAACTTTAGCAAATTTCTTAGCCTCTCTGCGCTTCACTTTACTTATCTGTAAAGTGGGGGACCTGCCTCATTTGGCTTTCTGAAGATTAAAGGAGATAAGACCCTGGAAGCACTTAAAACGGTGCCTCACACAGAGTATTTAAAACGTGTTAGGAATTACTACTGCTACTTATACTGAAGAATGAACAGTGGGAGATTTTTAAAGATGGTACAATGAGAGGTCTGAAGTGTGGAAGAAATGAATATTTTCAGAAAAGAGTCGAGTGATTATGTGAGTCTGGAAGCTAAAATGCACCATGGAATCGGCCAGTAAGACAAGCTGGGGATGGCTTGGGAAGGATCTCATGGACCATTCTAGGAAGCTAAGCACTGAGCAAGTCTAAGAAAACAGGACAGCAGAGCCAAGCCAGAGAAAAAACCCATTCTACGATTGTGGCCCTAGTCCTGGTGAAGATAGCGAGGCTAATAGCTGGGGAGAATAGCGAGGATGTTTAGGAAGTAGATTGGTGAGGCTTGGTCACTGTCACAGACAAGTGATTTACAAACCTAAAAAGCATATTGCCTGCCAGAGCCCACTCTGATTAGGAAAATCCAAGGGAACTATTTAATAGGCTTCTTGGGAGAAGATGAGAGGGATTATTTGACCATAAGGCGACAAGGCTAAGGGATTATTAAAACAAGAAACCCTATAATAAAGATGTTTCCCACTGGAGTCATACAAGGAAATTAAGGCTGACTTGTAGCATGTAGGATTCAAGTTAGATATGAGGAAGGACTTGCTAACAACATGACTATTTTGTAGATACTTAAGGGACACAGAAGAGCTTTTTCCAAAACTGAACTTCTTGCCTCTTTTTATAAATACTGTCATGCCTTAGATGGAAAAAGGAAAGTTCTAGAAATCCCTTTCTATAGAATTTCAGGGTATAAGAAAACAATTAAAAGGTGTTAAGACAATTTAAGTGAGTTCTAAGTAATTGGTACTCAAGAAGCAGGGTTATTACTGCCCATCTTGAATCAACCATTAAGCCAAGAGGCTTACAATTAAACTCAGAACAGTGAGATAATTGATAGGCCGAAATTCCAGGAACTGCTGAGTCAGGAGAGCTGTTTTCAAGATATTTGGCCCAAGAAAATCCACTTACAGCACAAGGGGGACTGACTGACAATTTCTGAATTCTTTTTTATGGTCCTAGGGATTGAACCCAGAGGCACTCAGCCTCTGAGCCACATCCCCAGCCCCTTTTCGTATTTTATTTAGAGATAGGGTCTTGCTAGGTTGCTTAGGGCCTAAGTTGCTGAGGCTGGCTTTGAACTCACGATCCTCCTGTCTCAGTCTCCCAAGATGCTGGGATTACAGTCGAGTGCCACTACACTCAGCCCAATTTCTGAATTACTGGGGATCACATTTGAAAACTTGGGAGAAGGCCCAAAGCAAAACAAACATAGGGACATGAGGGTGACCTCATCAATTAAAATGATATAAGGGATTTCAGCCATCAAGTTTCTGAAGCCTACAGGCACAGAAACATTCTATTTTCCTTCCAGTAGACCTGTCCCCTTCTTCCCATTATCTGGGATACCCCCACAGACCCTGTCCTGGGTCCCTTTGGCCTGTGATTTCAGAACTGCCCCTTCCAACATCAAATCCAATGTATTTTCTCTCCACCCTGCAGACTCACACCATCTTCTCACTACTGGGAGTGGACCATGCTTATGTTACCAGTATTGGCAGACTCATTGGAATTGTTACCCTAAAGGAGGTGAGATAGTAGTAACCCACAAAGCCACATCCCCTTCCAATGACATGGAAGCTTATGTTTACTTCCCCATAGGAGTGCTGGGGAGGGGCCTGAGCAGAAAGCTCCAAGTCCAGACAGCTGACAACTCTCATTTTCCAGCTTCGGAAGGCCATCGAGGGCTCTGTCACAGCACAGGGTGTGAAAGTCCGACCACCCCTTGCCAGCTTCCGAGACAGTGCCACCAGCAGCAGTGACACAGAGACCACTGAGGTGCATGCACTCTGGGGGCCCCGCTCCCGCCACGGCCTTCCCCGGGAAGGCAGCCCTTCTGACAGCGACGACAAGTGCCAGTGAACCCTTCTGTGGGTGGCCCAGGATGGTGGTAGCCATATCCCTTTTGCCTTGGGAAAGCAGGAGGCAGCTGGAGCTCCAGTCCCCTGTCCAGACCTGGGATGCTAGCTTCTCCCAGTGTATCCTACCTGGAATCCCACCCAGCACCCACCTGCAGGAAGATTTCCAAGTGCAGGAAGATTGGCACCACCCTGGCAGGATGGGTCACTTGACCCCTGCTCCCCTTTGAAGGGAAAAAAGGTAGAACTAAGATGGGTTTATACTGGAACCTCCAATGACCAGATGTATATAGAGATTTACAAAGATTTTTATATTAATTTAATAAAACAAATTCTTAAATAGAACAAAATAAACACCTAATGAGCCACTTATATATAGAATGTTTGTGCCCATTGGCTCTTGTTCTTACCTTGGGTCCTCTTACCTGCCAAAGCCTATAAGGCTCTTAATTCTGCAGTCACCTACCCTCCCCACAGCCATAAAAGTCTGGACTCCAGTGTCCTTGGAATACAGGATCTGCCAAAGATCTCCATGCTGGGTCATCAACACCCTGGCTGGGGCAGGGTCCCTGGTACTGTAACTGTGGCCTTTCACTCAGCCAAGAAAGGCACTACCCTTTCCTCCCCTAGGAGAGGCACTCCCTCATGACCATCAGGCATCAGCTGACATATTCCTGGCACCCCTGTGGCCCCCTTGTGGCCCTCTCTGGAAGAACATCGAAGTCACAGCTTTAACAACCAGAGCAACCCTTTCTTCCAGCTCCACCCTCAAGAGAACTCCAAGTGCCCACACATCCTTGGAAGGCTGGGAAAGGGCCCAGGCCTCATGGGAAGGGGGGGCAGGAAAAGGGTACATGCTTCCATTGTTCCAGTGCCTCCCAGAGAAGATCCGACTGAAAAAACAGACCAGAAACCCTCTGTCTTTAGGGAAAAAGAAGAAGATTTAGAGACAATGGAGAGGTGAAGCACAGCACGTGCCCAGCTGGGCAAGGGGTCCTTAGGGGGTGGCTCAATCCACAGGAGCCAGCCCCCCAGGTGGAGGTGATTCTATCAAGCACTGCACATGGACTCGGAGGTGAGGAGAGAAGCAGAGAGAGGCATGGGGAGGGCAGAGGAGGTGGCCAGGCTCCCTCCCAGTCCATCCCACAGCCCAGAAAAACCCCCTCAGGGGTTCACATCATCCGAGGAGAAAATGTGGCATTTTGGATTTGAGAACATGAACATCACTGTCTGCCACAGCTGTAGCCATGCCCCAGGGGCCCCGGGCAACCCCCGGCAAACCCCAGGAGTGGGGGCAGGACATGCGCCCCCAGCCCGGCCCCTGGCTCCTCTCCAAACACTTTCATGCAAAACACACAACGGACAAGTGAGGACTCCCAGTAGCCCTCTAGGCTGAGGAGCTTGCTGAGAGCCTTGAACCCAACACTTGGGCATGGAGGCTCTGCCCCCAGCAGCAGCCAGGGGACACATGCCACCACCAGGCATGATTTGAGTCACTGTTCCTCTGGCTCTGCCTCATCCTCATCTAAGGACACCACCCCAGAAGAGGCCATGTCAGAGGCTTGTCGCTGCCGTTCCCAGCTGCCCACTGGTAGTGGGCAAAGCGGCTGGCAGTCCTTGCAAGGGTCTGGCTCCTCTTCGGCAGGGGAAAGGCAGGACTCCGTGAGGGGCGAGTTGTAGAGCGAGTCCTGGGCCTCCAACGGGCCCAGGCTGTGAAAGGCACTTTCCCGGCTGGGGGGCAGTTTGGCGAGGAGCAGCTCATCACCCAGCAGCTGGGAGGTCAGGCGGGCTGGGGAGCCCAGCAACCCATCCTCCAGGCTGCACAGACTAGAGCACAGGGTGTCTGGGGACACGGTCTGCGAGCAGTCGCTCTCAGGCTCCACAGAGCCCTGGCGCACAGGCCGGGAGAATCTTCGGCCGGTGAAGAGATCCTGGAAGTGGGGCCCCAGAGGCAACTGCCCGGCCATGTCTGCGAGGGGGAAAGAAAAGAAGACAGGTCTGCTGGCCCCATTTCAGTTGCCCAACCTGGAAGCCACATTCCCCTGCCCCACTCCATCCTTGCTATGGGGTTGGGGCTGGGGAGTAGACACAATCTTTCAATGCCTTAAAGTTCTCTTCATGGTGAATTAGGGATTCTAATAACACCTACGTTGTGGGGTTGTTGAGAGAACAAGAGTCAGGCACACAGGAAGCAAATAATAAATGTACAGCCACCACATGCAGGTTGTTCACTGCACAAGGCAGTGAATGTGGGCTGAATTCCAGCTCACTGAGCAATATGCCCTGGCCTGAAGCTGTGCCCACCAGAGAAAGGGGTGCCTTTTTAAAATTTGCTCAAAGATTCCACATGGGGTAGTAACAGCCTCAGACAAATGTTAGTTATTATCTCAGGGGTCAAAGAAGGCCTGGAATACAATCAAAGGAAAATGCTTGTGGATTGGGGTTCCATCTTGGCCTGGGCATCCAAATCAGTCCCCCTTTTACTGTAGCAACAATCACTGGGTCTGCTCGGATATAGAGGGTGCCATGGAGAATTATTACCTAGCTGGAGGGGTGGGGGCTGAGAGGGTGATCTTCAAAGGCTTAGGGGTTGGGGGCAGGGTCCTGTAAGGCTTGAGCCCAGAAGCTGTAGAGAAAGTCAGCCATGAACTCCAGGGAAACAAGATGAAAGGAGAGCTAAGCACAGCTGTGCAGCCCTGCAGGGTCCCCTCCACAGGCACTGGCCCCGAGAAGACCCACAAGCTGGAATGCAAGGATGCTGAGCCAGAGCCAGCACAGCCCTGTGGGAGTCCAGGCCCAGCATGCCTTCCTGTTTGCCTGGGGCCAGTGCCCTGTGAGGTGCTGCACTGCGGCTCATCTGTCCTGCCACAGCCAGCCAGAAGGCTGCCTGAGAGGAAAAGGCCAGGGCACCACAGACCCTCCTGGAGACATGTCTGCACTTGAGTTGTCCAGAGGTCTCTGGGCTTTTTTTTTTTTTTTTAAGGACAGTGAGGCCCAACTGCACACAAGGGCAGAGAAGGCTCAGCACCTCTAGGAAAGGAACCACTCTATTTCCAACTACTGATATCCCAATGCATGAGTATGGCTAGCCCTCCTGCCCCTGGGGTGTCAAGGTCTGCCTGAACAGTCTGTCCCTTTCCCCTCCCCTTCCAAAGGCTCTGAGTGAACCACAAGGCCTATCAGGCAAGTCCACCCCAGCACACAGGATCAGCACAGAATGCCCCTCACCTGTGTCAGTTCCTCCAGCAAAGTCCTCGTCATAGGAGTCGTCAGTGGAGTCGTCACCATCCACTGAAGACCATGCCCGGAGCTTGGCTTCTGCGATAGCAAACTGCTCTGCCACTCCTATCAGGAGGATACAGAATCCATTAACAGGAGCTCAGCTAAGACCAGGGATCAATTTGCAGATGGGAGAGCAGAGATGGGTATGAAAAGACTTCAACCCCCCTGCCAGACCCAAGATCAGAAGCAGCAGTATAGGACTGACTCCTTATGCCACCCACCTGCTGCAAAGCGAGCCTCTTGTTCACCCTCACTGAGGTCTGAATAGGAGGAAAAGGCGGATTCCAGGGCAGCAGGTGAGTCACTTGGCTTACTCCAGCCCTTCCACTCAATGAGGTGAGCCACCCGGCCCTGGGCCATGGCTGTAGGCTTGGTCACGTGATCCTTCACCACCTGGGAAATGCCTGGGGGTGGGAGAAGGAGAGAGAAGCCTCTTAAGGATCATGGTTCAAGAAACACCTGGAAGGGAAGTGGAAGGTAGTGGTAGTAAGGATCCAAATGCATGTGGGTAGGAGGAAGGGCTGGGATTCTTTAGGAAAAGGAGGATCCCAGACAAGGCCCAAAGGAAAGACTTCCAAAAGATATGTGTGAAAGGGAGGAGAAAGGACAAAATGGGCAGAGGCTATGGGAGGTGGGTGCATACCATGCAGGGAGGATCTGGCCAGCGCAGCAATCTCCTGGATGGTTAGGGCTCTCCGGGACTTGGGCAGCATCGCGATTGTGTCTCCAACATTCACCTTGAGGGGCACAATCAGAAGGTCAGTACCCTCTGACAGCACTGATCTTCACCCCAATATATCCATACCCTACCCAAGGTATCAGGGTGACATGGGAGCTGGGAAGAATGCCAGAGCAGCACATATGGCCCAGTGGTGCTGGGAAACTTAAAACTAGGACCAGTGAACTGCACTCCCAGGGAGCAATGTAGCATCAGGCAGGCACAAGGGAACAGAAGTATAGCTAACCTCCACCTTCCCAGCTACCAGAGGAAAAACAGGCAGGTCAGGAAGTGAAGAGCCCTGAAGTGGGGGCTCTGGGGAGAGGAAAGATGAGGAAGGCAGAAGGTTATAATATCAGAGACTTCCTTAATTTCCTCTCCCCTTTGCTCCTTCCTCCTCTCTTTTCAGATCTACATTCCAGCTATTCCTAGACCATCTACCAGAGCCACAAACTCAGCATGACCAAATTTAACCAACACCTTCTCCCAACATTCGGCTCTGCTTCCTGTCTCCCTTATTTTGTATCACCCCACCATTTTCTCATTCAGCCTGATGTCAAACCTCAACATTAGTCTCGGCTCTTCCCTAAGCTCTTTGCCTGCCCACATCTGTTAAAACCTCATGATTCTACCTCCAAACTGCCTTTACTACCACTCTCGTCCTTTCTGCTCCCACTGCCCTTCCTCAAGCCCTCAAAGATCCCTGCTCAGATTAGCACAAGCTGGGGTTCCCCAACCTCCTCATACTCTTCTCAGCCCAGGATGTTATGTGTGAGTATTCTCTTTCCCTCCCTCTCTTCCTATGGCTGGCTGGCTCCTTTGAACATCCTTCCAGTGTTGGCTGAAATATCACCCCCTCAGAAGAACCCTCCTGGCCACCCTGCCAGTCTGTCCTCCCTATGTAGTCTCCAAGAAATCACTATCTTCTATCAATCATAATATGTAATTATGGTCTATTTCGTGTGTTTCCTTTTCTTGTTGGTCTCTCTCAATGGTCTTTACCTCCTTGAAGAATTCTGTCTGTTGTGGTCACTGATGCACCCCAGTATTTTAGTACAGTGCCTAATAAAGTGTAATCTCTCTCTCAAAATACATTGGCTGAATAACGAGAGACATGGTATTAAATGTAAGCAAATAATTTTCCTGGAGTGCAGCTGGTCACAGCATATCTCTATTAAATTTTATAAAAGTTAAAATCTTTTCAGTGACATCAGTGTAGGCTTCATACCCAGGCTCTGTGAGGCCCTTGCCTCCTTTCAGACCTCCTTGGAATTCACCACTGGTTCCCTCTGTCCAATACAACCCCACTATGCCTTCCCTGTCAGTAAACAGCCTGCAGGCCTGCAGGAAAAGGAACCCAGCTTTCTTCTGGGCCAGAAAGCCTTTCTTGACTGACAGAATGCTTCCTACCATGTAAGGTCTGCCTCAAGTGCCACTTTCTAGTGGTGCTTTCAGCCCAGACTGACTGACTTTTCTTTGACACCCTTCCCCCAGCATTGCCCTTGTATGGCTCCTCGGGGAGCCCTGAATGGCAAGGCCTGATTCTGACCCATCTGAGTTCCTACTTCTACTCTGCACCTGGCTCAGTGCTCCTTAGCAAACCCAACAAATGTTTTCCTCAATGAATGGAGGCACACCCCAGCTTCCCAGCGTTGCCTTGCTCTCCTCTACTATATTCCCACCCTGCACGAAAGCAGCCTCCACCTGCCCCTCAAGCCCACCCTCTGCCCCTCCCCTTCAGTACCTGGCTGACAGGGCCCCCAGGGTGGCGCCGTTAGCCTTCGGGCAGGCCTAAGGGGAGGAGCACTTACGGGGTGTTTCCAGGCTCGCTCTCCCTCCCTCCTCTCGCTCCCCCTAGGCGCCGCCGCCATCCGTGCCCAGCGCTCCGCGCAGCTGCGGCCCAGGCCCAGAGAAAAGGTGTATGTCTCCCTGGCAACCCATCACCATGCAACAGGGTCTCCCGGGATACGGCCCGGGATGCGCTGACGTCAGCGCCGAAGGCGCGAGCAAGCCCGCCCGCTGGCACAGAGCCGAGCAGAGCAGACCCGCGCGGGGGCGGCCTTGCTGCCCGTCGGCCGGATAGCGCCTCCGCTTGCAGGAAAAGGGGGCCCGAAGCAGGCTGGCGAGGCGGGGGTGGGGGAACACAGATCCCCTGGATGTAAATGCGGTCCCTGCCCCCCAACACACCGACACCAGGGCCAAGCACCTCTGGCAAGTCCTGGCTGTCCACCGAGGAAGGACGAGAGGACCGGCTCCAGCCTCGGAGGGTCCGAGCAGATCCCAAAGAGGATAGAGAAATGCCACGAGGAAGTTCAATCCACTCGACAGCCCACGCGGGGTCCGAGGACACTGAGGAGATGGGGAAAGACTATTCAGCTGGGCCCCCACTTCTGCCAAGATCACGATTTTCATCCAGTCTTGCCATATCATTTCTTGGCATCCCCTCCCCCACTAACCAGAACATCAGCCACCACCTGGGTCTCCTCAACTCCGAAAACCCCTATCCCACTGCTCGGTCTCTAGGGTTCCTTTGTGGCAGCCCACTGGCCACCCTCCTCCTCTACAAATATTTTGCCATCAAAACTCAGCGGTGAAACCCAAACATGGATAATTTCTAAATCTTCTTCCAGTTTCTCAGCCTAACCATTCCTCTTGGAAAGCACACTGAATTCTCCCACCATCACTGTCCCCCTCCCCACCACTACCCAGACCCTTTGCAGGCTGGCTGCGCTTCCTTCTCTCCTCCACTGCCTTCGTTCTTTCCCCTCACCGGCCTTATCTGGTCAGCAGCTCTTTACATGTTTTTTCCCCCCTGATTTCTGCCCCATCCTAAAGCCTTTTCCTAATTCTCTGTTCTTGCTTCAGCCTGGTTCCCAACATCTAAGCCAGAGTAATTTTCCTCTTGCCATCTGAGCACCTAACTCCTCAGCTTCTTATCACCTCCCAGATCACATCAAGGGTCTCCAGTCTCACCTCTTCGACTTGTCTGACAAGTCCATCGTCCTCCAGGCCCTTCACGCTGCCACAGAAACATTTTGCCCAGCACAGAAATCATAGGCATGCTGGCTGTGTTGATGCGGAGAACCAAAAGCCCAGAACTGCTCCAGGCTCAGCTCCCAGTTCTATTCCTGTTTTGGCTCCGGATGCTGAGCCAGTCCCCTCCCCACTTGGAACTTGTGCCTAGTCACATAAGGAGAACACTCCTGCCTCATGGCTTTGAGGAGGTGGGTGTGCCAGGGGCCTAGCCAAGCTCTCTGGGGCTTGGGGAACTAAGGCCCATCCCCTAGACAGTGCCAACAGGCCATGTACATCACAACTGACCTTTAGCTGGAGCAGCCGTCTCTGTCCCTGAGCCTCAGCCAGCTGGTGGTCCCCAGAAATGCTACCAACCAGAAGGAAGACAGGTTACAGGCCATCCCTGGCCCCCAGCTGGTACCCAATCAGGGTTCTCAAGGCCAGTCCTGAGGTCAGCCAAACTCTCCCCTGACTACAGGAGGGGATGATTTCCTGAACTTCAAGCAGGCCAGAGGGATCAGAGCAGCCTGCTGCTTCTCAGCTTCAAAAGCCATGAGGTTTATTTAGGACTACAAATCCCAGAATCCCTCCAGGAAAGTACAAATCTCAGCCAGAGTTTAGCTCTGAAGAATCTCAAGTACCAACCATACTAAGGCCTGTGTGACTGACCACCTGCCCTAAAAGCCCAGAACCCATTCCAAATCCAGCCCTTAACATCACAAGTCCCTGCCTGGCCTTAGCTTTGGTGAATTCCATGACACTGAAGTAAAGTAACCTGGCAGACCTTAGATGCATAGGACTAAGGCCAGGCCCCTGAATGCATAGCCATCCATGGAAACTAAGGCCCAAGCAGGGGTCAACAGTTGTGAGAAGAAAGCCTTGATGACCTCCCTCTGAGCTCCCCTTCCTCCACAGTGTAAGAGTGACTTGTTTTTGTTTTTAGTGGTGGTGCAGAAATGAAATTAAAAGTTGTAAGAGGTGATCAGGTGCTCACAGGTGCCCTACATGGGGCCTTAGACCCCTTGATCAATCAGCTGACTCTGAAGGGTGAGCAAGTGTTAGGCCAAAACTCTGTGATGAGGTGCTTGGCCCGCGTTTGCAGGCTGCCTCCTTAAAAGAATAACGACCTAGCTGGGAAAGGCAGGGCCACTCCCAAGACAGTGAGAGGAGAGGTGTAGGCAAAGGGGAGTGTGTGGGCACGCAAGGCCAGTCGCCAGGGGCGGTAGAGGCGGGGACCTCAGCTGCCCCAGTCCATCCCAAAGCTGTGCGCCTCTGGCCACCCTCAGGAGTGGGGGGAATACAGGACGGCGGCGAGACCATGGTCTGCCTAGCAAAGCCAAGAAGCAGACAGGCCACCGGAGCGAACCGGACTCTGGCTAGCCCCCTCCTCGTTCATTCCATTTTCCTCCTCTGGCCTGGCCCGCCTCCCCGGTGCAGGCTCCTCCTTCTGCCGCCAGCCCCTTCCTCAAGGCCCACACCCACCCGCGGCCCGCGCATCGGGCGGCCGCAGCCCGACTCCCCAACGGTGCCCGACCTCCGCCTCTTACCCTGACCCGCCGGGCTCCGGGAGCCGATACAGCCCATGGCCGGGCACCCAAGCACGCTAGCCCGTGCTCGGGGCCCGGGCCATCGCCTCGCAAAGGGTACGGCCGCTGCCACCACCAGGGAGGGGACAGCCCGTGAGGGGAGGGGGTGGGAGCCGCGCGTCCGTCGCCGCTCCCGGGAGAGGGAACCGGGCCGGTGACGTAAACATAGGGGCGTGACCGCCCGCGTCTCCACCTAGAGCGGGCGGGACAAAGCTGACGTCACAGCCGCGCTGAGGGAGCTTAGGGCCGAGTTCGGAAACCGCTGGTCCTGTACTCGCCAGCCTCTGTCAAGCCACCTTGAAGGCAGGGGAGGTGCTCTCTGGGCAGTGCTGCCACACTACTCGAGGGCAGAAAATCTTGCTCACCCAGTCCCCTCAGTAAAAGAGGACATCCTTAAGTCAGAAGGGCTTCTCTGCCATCTGACAAAACCCAGAGACTTCTTGGCACACAGGGGAATGGATCACATTCAGGTAAGAGCAATAGTCCGGCAACTATCTTCTAATAAGTACTCCACAGGTACCAGACCTCCCTCTCCTCTCATAACCAAGAGTGAACTCCTCACATCCACACCAAGATCCTAAACCCTCCGGAAGGCAGTGGCTTCTCAGATGCCCAAAATCATGGGTCAGGAGAGGTGCCAGGTTATAGGAACAATGCTACAGTGCCAGCTCTGGAAAGAAAGATGCCCACCTATCCATACCCCTTCTCCAAAGGGAGCAGGCCATAAAGCAGAGGCAGTGAGCTTAATTGAATTCATGTTTAATAATTACAGGCACCGTGCCCCCCCCTTCCCCCTGCCCAGGCAGCAGCAGGGGTGGTGCAGGGGCTGGGGCATATGCCCCCAGCAGCGAGGACGGCAGTCCCAAGAGTGATTTTCAGAAAATAAAAAAGGACCCCAGGGGCAGGCGGTGGTGCCCTCCCCCCAAGACACACCAAATTTCAAGACTTTATATATAATATATCTCTGTGCCCCAGGGGGAAAGGGACACCTGGCAGCATCCTGGAGGGGGGCCCCAGGCAGCCCCAAGCCATCCTGCCTCTTCAGCCACTTTATTAGCTCAGACACATCGCACTACAGGCACCCACTGCCACCACCGCCGCCGCTGCTGCCGCCCCCCTGCAGTCCAGGCGGCTGGCCGGGCCATCCACGTGTCCATGGGGCTCCAAGTCCCCAGCCCCACCCGCCCTCAGTTGTGGTCGGACTCCTCCTCCTCGGCCTCACGAAGCCAATTGAAGAAAGCTGTGACAGATTTAAGGGCCACTCCCTTGCCCTGCTGCTCAGCGGGATCCTTGCTGCTCTCCCAGCTGTAGAAGGCGTCCTCCTTCACCACATCCTCATCATACAGGGCATCAAAGAACATCCGAAGCAGGTCTGCAAGCCATCAAGCAGCAGTTAGAAGTGACTAGCCACAGCCATGCTACCCTGTCCCTAGGGATTTCTATGTTAAACAAGGCCCTGACCTACCACCCTGACATTTGTGTCTTGAGCATTCCAGAGTGACTAGGCCTGACAGGATGCTAATCTCATGATCTAAGAGACCGAAGCGCAGAAATGAGTCAGCCATCGAAAAAAGCTTTACAAACTTGCCCAGCCTCACCTTGGCAGCTTCAAAGGTCTCTACTTGTGATATATTTAATGTGGAAAACTACATGCAGAATTGGTACTCCTGGATTTAGGGACTCACAAGTCTATCACTAAGGTTAAGGGTATAAACTGGAACATCCACCAGTCCCCCCCAAAGATCTTGACCTTCAATCCCCATTTCCTCTTCCTTCCCATACATCTCCTGAACCCTCTCCAACCTTTACACTTTTGAGGAGTGCTATCTCCCTTTGTCACTTTCCTAGTAAATCTCTGATTCAAGTACCCCCACAATGCTTTAACCCATTCTCCAGCACTGGCCACTTCAGGGCTTCCTTAAGCACTTTCCACATGACACTGCCTATCTTTCCAAACCAAAGGACACTCCTAAAAAACAGGAGGACAGAGTAAGTGAAGTACAGGATCTCAAGTCTAGACTTGAGAAAATCCTAAGAAATCCACAAACTTCTTGTGGACACAAACTCCTCCCACCCCTGTGCTTCAAATTCCATGCACACTCCCTCCCAGAGGATCCCATTTAATCAAAACTATTCACTCTGCCCTCTATATTCAGAAGCCAAAGTTTCTCCCAGGTACACAAAGGGCCCCCCTTAGAACCACTAATTCATAGCTCAATGTAAGATTCTATCTATACTTGCTGTCTCCTTTCCCATCTCAGTCAGTATTTCAGTCCTTTCCAATCCAGAGCCTGCTTCCTGCGCCACCAAATACTGTTTTTGCCAGGGTGACAATATGTTTTTACTTTTCAGAAATTCTTTCAAGTCTGCTCTTACTGAACTCTCTGAAACATGGTAGCATTGTCTTCTACTTCCCTATCCAAAATTCTCTTTGTCCAAAGGTCATTGCTCTCCTTTAGTCCCGGCCCGTTGTCATCCCCAGTATTTCATCCCAATCCCATTGGGCAATCCTACATCTTCTTGTGACTTACACAGGTACTTATTACCCTATGCTAGCACCTCACAGATGTGCTTCCTAACCTGGCTACATTCTCCCAGATGGATCCAAATTCCCATCTACCTATCTACCATCTCTGAGCCCTGACCCCGGAATACCATGAACTCAACTTGACCCAATGTTTCTCACCCCTGACCCAGAACACCATGAACTCAACTTGACCCAATGTTTCTCACTCCAGTGGCAGATGGCATCACATTATCACCTGCCCTACTCAAACTACTATGAGAACCACTTTTGACTTCCAATCAGTTATGTCCCCCACCCCAGGCCTGTGACTAAAAGCTGTCAACTCCATTTCCTAAGTATCTCTTGAATCTGCTCACCCTTTCCCCCACTATCCACTATCACCAGGAAGATGGAACCATGAATGTCAACCTCCTACACTCTCTTCCCACTCCAAACCATTATTTCCCAGTATAGCCAATGATATAAAAAATAAAAATTTTTTCTCCCTTGCTTCAGGCCCTTTGGGCCTTACCTGGCCCTTAGGTAAAATCCCAAAGACCTTGCCATTCACACAGCCCTGCAGGACCCGTCCCTGTCCATCTCTCCAGCCCCTCCTGCCTCATACCAATTGGTCACTGCGCTCTCCTGCACTGGCCTTCCCTTCAGCAGCTCCTCTGTCTCATGTCACATTCCTTCTACTTGAGAATCTATATACACAGTGCCTTTGGTTACAAGGGTCCTCCCTCCATCTGTCTCTTAGCTAATTCCCACTTACCATCCCTCAGACCCCTCTTTCAATAACTTATACTTGTTACTGACTCCACACCACCACGGGAACTATGCTAAACTTCCTATGATTACCCCAATGCCCTGACACATATCTATTGGCAGAATGCACAATCTCAGACTTGTTAACCTAAGCCTCAGTTTCCTTATGTGGAAAATGGGGATAATACCATCTACCCTAAATAACAGTTGTGATGATGAAAAGGAGGCAAGGTTAAGCAAAGCATTTCAGACTTGTGTCAGGCAGAGTGGGACAAAAGATGCTATCATTTATCATCTCTGCACTATTAGCATCTAACAGCTAGGCATAAAGCAAGTAATCAATTAACTTTCAAGGCTGAGACTAAACCCAATTTGTAGGCAAGGAAAAACTATGCAGGGGAAAGTAATCAAACCATCAGGGCATTTTGCTCTCCACTTAATTACCCACCTTTCTTGGTTTGAGTCCCTTCCACAACTACCCCTGCTATGTGGCAATCCCTCCACCCCACCTCTGTCCCTGCAGCCTGGCTCTTACTGGCGGGCTGCTCTAAGGTCACTACAAGGGCTTGGAGGGCATAGAGCGCTTGCAGCTCCTTCTGCTCATCACATAGGTATTTCTGTAGCAGTCTTGCTCGTGCTTTCAGCACTGCAACATCCACTCGGAGAGGAGTCTCAACTATAGGGAAGAAGAAGGGATAAGTGGAACAATGCAGCCTTAAGAGTGGTTCAGCCCCAGGAGGCCAGACTGAAATCCTTTTCCCTCCCTTTTGTCCGCGAGGCCCACCCTTTTCCCTGCCATTTCTTACAGATAATTGAAGAATAGCAGACAGTTTTCATAAGGGCTCGAACTAATGTGTTGGATGCTATCTGTTGCTCACTCAGGTTGGCCTGTGCAGGAAAAACAAATGGCCCATAAGTTCTGACTTGTTGCCCCTCAGTCTCCATGCTTGCCATCCTCCACCTCACCACAAGAAATGCCTTTCTTCTATCCCTCCCCCAATATCCCGGAGAAACATACGTCTATCCAGTCGAACACCCGCTGGTTACTGCTACCCTCCTTCAGCAGCTTCTCCAGCTGCCTGCTCAGCTCCTCGAAGGGGAGTGCCCTCTGGCCAGGGCTTTCTGACTCCTCTCCTAGGGTATACTCCACCTTCTGCAACCAAATATGGCCAGTCAAGAGGTCAGATGAGGGAAGAAGATGACTAGCTAGATTCAAATGCTAAAATTAATGTTTTAACAGCCCCAAACCTGTTCAGCTACAAATGCACCAACGTCCTGGCCTTCGGGTAGAAATTCTTTCCAGCTGAGTCCAGCCTCTCGCCAAAGCATCCCTATCTTTTTGGGACCCTGGAAAACATAAGAACAACTAAGCATCCTTGTATCTCTCCAAAGATCCAACAGCTCCAAAACAGACATCCAACAAATATTCACTGAAAGCCCACTAGGTATCTACTAGGAGCTAAGGATGCCACAAAGGTAACACTTAGGCAGAGCCCTTCCATGCCTTCAGTCTAGTGCAGAGCACAGCTGTCAGTCAAATATGCAAGTTACATTAAAAAAAAAAAAAAAAAAAAAAACCAACCTCATGCATCATTACAGTGTTATGATGCTAGGGTGGGGGAAATGATTTAAGCCCCTAGGAAAAAACATCAACCAGCTTTTGCAGGATTCTCAAGTTACTGAATCTTAAAAATCCAAATGCCTCACTCTAGTGTCTTCCATTCTTACCTACATTTCTTTTTTTTGATACAGCTTGTCATTATCCCAGGTAACAAATGTGTGCTTACAGAAAGATAACTTGTAACACAAGTATGCCTACTTGTTTCCTAAATTCAGAAAATGTTAGAAGTCCTCACAAAATGA